CCTCCCAAGTGCTGGAATTAAAGGCGTGTGCCACTACTACCTGGTGTGGAAATTTCTTAATGTGACCCAGTACTATGTATAATGAGTATATACCAATGAAAAATTTTTAAAAAGAAATCTTAAGAAAAAAAGAGAGAGAGAGAAAGAAAATTCATTTGCACTGACCTCACACACATGGTCTTCCATTACCATTCCTCTAAGCAATACACTTATATTTTATTTGGCTTAAATAACCCAGAAATGGTGTATATGAGAGGGTCTATATGGTCTATTATAAATAAAAAATATATATAAATATAAGGGACTCAAGCATTTGTAGAATTTGATACCTATGGAAAGCTTGGAACCTATCCTCAGGTATCAAGGCATGACTCAACTGTTTTTCCTACAAATGCATTCCTAATTTATAAATTAGGCATAGTAATTTATCATTTATCTAATTTATCATTAGATACTAATAATAACTAATAATATAGTGGAGTGATACTATATACCACATATAACAGACATGACTTAAAACATTATTTCTGGAATGTTCCACTTAATATTTTTGAGTCAGTGAGCAACTCAAAGTTTAAGAAATTAAACTGAGATAAGGAAGCATTATGATATTGACTTCAACTCCTTTTATTAAAAAAAAAAAAAAAATCACTTGGCATGTTCATGTGTGCCTTTAAGTCCAGCACTCAGGAGACAGATGCAGGCAGAATTCTATGAGTTCTAGGCCAGCATGGTCTACACAGTGAATTCTAGGATGGCCAGGGCTAGGGACAGATTCTCAAAAAACAAAAAACAACAAAACAGGGGCTGGAGAGACAGCTCAGTGACTAAGAGCACAGGCTTCTCTTCAGAGGACCAGGCTTTAATTTCTAGTAACCACGTGGTAACTGACAACTGTCTATCATTACAGTCCCAGGGAATCAGATGTCATCTTCTGGCCTCCTCTGGCACCAGGCTTGCATATGGTGCACAGATAAACATGCAAATAAAATACTCAAACACATAAAAATTAAAAAAAAAAAAAAATTAGAAACATATACAACATGGGCCTGGAGAGTTGGCTCAGCAGTTAAGAGCACTTGCTGGTCTTCCACAGGACCATGGTTCAGTTCTCACACCCACACAGTGGCTCATCACTACCATTAACTCCAGTTTGAGGGGCTCTAATGCCCTCTTCTGACCTCTGCTGGCAGTACATGCAGATGACTGGTGTGTAAACACACGCACACACAACAAAACTATGGCTTCTTTCACATCCCATTCTTGTCTCCCTCAGAAATAAACAATTACGGTGGTTTGAATGCTTCAACACTTAATGAGGATGAGCATGGCCCCCATGGGCTCATATGTTTGCATACTTGGTCCCCAGCTGGTAGAACTATTTGGAAAGGATTAGGAGGTGTGGCTTTGCGGAGCAAGTGTGTCACTGGGGGCAGGGTTTGAGGTTTCAAAAGACTCATTCCCAATATGCTTTCTACCTCCTGCTTTGAGATGTGAATTATCAGCTGTTCCTGCCACCAGGCCTTCACTCCACAATCATAGACTCTAGCCTGGAATGGTAAGCCCAATTAATTGCTTCTTGTATTAAGTTGCCTTGGTCATAGCAATAGAAAAGTAACTAATACAGTAATATTCTCAAGCATGTTTCTAAAAATATTAAATTTTTATTTGTTTTAAAGATGTATTTATATTGTATGTACTGGATCCTCTGGAGCTGAAGTTACAGGTGGTTGCACCTCATGAGGGTGCTGGAAACCAAACTCTGGCTCTGAAAAAGCAATAAGCCATCTCCCTTTAGCTCCGAGATTTGTTTATTTTATGTTGTGTGTACATGTATATGTCTGAGGTTATATCTCAAACATATTTTTAAAAAGTTTTATGTAGGTATGTCTTCACATAAGAATGAGCTATTTTATAGTATTTTAAATTAAATAAAGAATATAATATTTGTATTATTGTATCAACTTGTTTTTATCGATATTAAGCTTCTGATATTTGTCCACATTGTTATGTGTACCTTCAACTCATTTAATTTAAATTGGTATAATAGCTTTTCATTTTATCAATACGAAAGCAATATTCTCAAGGAGACAGGGGTTTACCAGAGACAAGCTATGCAAAACAGTACATCAAGACCTCCAAAGAGCAAAATGACAATCATTAATATTCAAATTGGTTATTAAATTCACCATGCAGTGAGAAGACAGGTGGTCAAGAACTATCCTGCTCTCTACTGTAGACCTCAGGATGGACGGGACAGTGTGAACTAGCTCAGTCAACCTGACCTTACTCAACCTTCCACTTAGTCTGCTGAAAGGTGAGCTGAACTTGGCAGTAATCTCCTAAGTGCCTACCATGTGCCAAGCAGCATGCAAGTCTTGGGCATATGGAAATGAGCACTAAGAGGTGGTGCCATGCAGGCACAAGACACATGAGATTAAGCGACTCCTCAGTCTGGTGCCTTTGTACTGCTGTGTGAAGAAGCCTCTGATGTAGAGCCTGGAATTCAGCCATGGGACTTGGATACAGAGGTCATCAAGGTAAAAATGGGGAGCATTCCCTGAAAAACCTTTCACAGATATTTATCTGAGGAACAAGAATATATAGATCCTGTCCAGAATATTTCAGTTCAGATACTAAATCCTGGAAGACTTTAAAGTCAAAGTATACACATACACACACAAACACACCTGTTTATGTCTTTCTAAGACAGTCTCTATGTACAATAGGATGGCTTCTAACTTATGATCCTCCTGCCTCCACTTCCTCAGTGCTGTTGGGGCCTTGTGCTACCACTTCTTAGCCCTAAGGTCTTCAAAGCGGCGCTCAAAGATCTGTCCTTTCATCAATTCCAGACAGGCTTCACGCCTGAGAACAGATCCTCCACCCAGCCTGCAAATCTCTTTCCTGGAATGGGTGACTACTTCCGTTACAGTGACCTGAGCAGATGAGCCTTGCCTTGCTGGCTTACCTGCATGATGTCGATGGCCATCGCCTGCGTCTGGACCCCCTCCACGTTGTTCATCAGCCAGTGTACCACCTCAGCACTAATGAAGCAGCATGGTGAAAGGCCCTTCTGTTCAGACAGCAGCTGGACTCCTGTCCTGGATTCCAACACGTGAGTAGGGAATACGTGCCCAGTGGCATGAAGGAAAAAGAACAGATGAGAAATCATGCCCTGTCTGAAAGGAGGGTTCTATATACAATTCCTAGACTGACAGAAATCTCCACAACAGGATAAAAGAACTGAGAGGAGAGGAGACAGTTAGAGAAAACTTTATCTGTCAGTACTACCTTGGGTACTTCATGTAAGAATCTAATCACTGCATTAGCCATGTATGTAAAAACTCATGGTATGGACTGACAAGATGCGCAGTATATAAAGATGGCTGCCATCAAACCTGACGCCTTGAGTTCAACTTTGGGTAGCAACCTGTGGAGGGAGAGGCTCAGCCCCTCAAAGCTGTCCTCTGGCTCCATGTGTAACTGCAGCTGACTAGCATGCACACATGTGCATGCCCTCTGGCTCCCCACACATAATAAATAAAATGCAATTTACAAACTTCTCACTGTAGCTGGGCGTGGTGGCATATGCCTTTGATCCCAGCACTGGTGAGGCAGAGGCAGGTGGATCTCTGCAAGTTCGAGGCCAGCCTGGTCCTACAGAGTGAGTTTCAGAAAAGCCAGGGCTACACAGAGAAACCCTGTCTCAGGAAACCAACCAACCTCACTGTATAAACAAGGAGCAGAGGCTCAGGGAGGTCAGGTGACACACCCATGTCTCACAGTTGGTCAGTGGCAGAGTAAGTGTAAGTCTACCCATTTACACCACCATGGCAAGCCTCCCCTCAGGTACCTTCCGCCCTTGCTTCACAGATGTGCCCAGTCACTTACGAGGGATGCTTCATGGCTTCTAGGATCTCCACCAGGGTAGAGGATGATGTTAGAGAGCTGGCTATGTGCTGCTGAGAGCTGAAACACAGAGTATAACAAGGCAACATGGCGTTGGGTTTTTGTTTCAGTGCTGTGGTTGAGCACAAGACTTTCTACATTTTAAAAAGGCAAAGTGGGACTGGAGAGATGGCTCAGTGGTTAAGAGCACTGGCTGTTCTTCCAGAGGTCCTGAGTTCAATTCCCAGCAACCACATAGTGGCTTTCAACCATCTGTAATGGAATCTGATGCCCTCTTTTGCTGTGCATGAAAACAGTGCTCATATACATAAAATAAATAAATCTTAAAAAAAAGGGCAAAGTGATTTTGTATCCAAAAACATAAAAAACACTTAAAAAGCACCTCCCTCTTTGATCACTTTTCTCTTTCATTTTTATTCTTTTATTTATGTGCTTGCGTGTAGAAGTCAGAGGAAGGCTTTGATCTGCTGAAGCTGGAGTTACAGGCAACGGTGAGCCATCTAATGTGGGTGGTGGGACACAGCTCATGTTCTCTGAAGAGCATGGCAGCTCTTAAGCACTGAGACACATCTCTAGCTGCATTAATAATGATGTTTCCTAGAAGACTTAGGCTGCTGATTTTGCCTGATGGCCTCTCACATGCTACTTAACCCTGACCAATCAAAGAGTGCTGCCTAATGATTTCAAGTGACAGTTTACAGGAAAAAAAAAACCCTGAATTATCACTAAGCAGTTCAGGGACCCTGGATTTTCTTGATCTTTATTTTTTATTTTTATCTGAAGGCAGGGACAGTGCTATTCATGTCTTTTAGGGTAGTGTGGGGCTAACATATGTAAAACAAAGTACAAGACAGATACACTAAAGCAAGTCAGATTAGCTAAATGAACTAGTGAACGTCCAAGAGTTGGGAAGCATCAGAATCTAGATTTGCATTCAAGTGAGTCACATTCCAAAATCCTGATCTTTCTACCGCCTGCTGCCAAGTTCTGCCTTGAAGGTGCCACAATTTAAAAATGCTTAAAGCAGCTGTGGCTGCACACTCCTGTAATCCCAGCACTCTGGATGTTGAGCTGGGAGGATCATGAGTGAGATCAACTTAGGCTACTTGGAAAAACTTGTTACAGAGATGGGGGTGGGGAGATCTGTAAGAGGAAAAAAAGAGAGAGAGAGAAAGAGAGAGAGAGAGAGAGAGAGAGAGAGAGAGAGAGATTAACTCTCAGCAGCTGAGTGGCTCCACTTCTCCAAACTAGTTAATTCTGGGTCTCAATTAGAAACTTCTCGAACTTTCCTCTTTCTTCTATTCCAGTATTTTGAGTACCTATTTGTGTGTGTGTATGTGTAGGGGTGTGTTGGGGGGGGGAGGTTCGGGAGGGTGTTCTTCAGGGCTCAATGCAGCATTTCAGAATCTCAAGCCCTGGGTTAGTCCCCAGCACCACAATAAAAACCTAAAACCAGAATCTCAGGCTTAGTTACAAAACCTTTGAAGAGAATGTACTTTATCCTGAATCTGAGTTCAAGTGTGTAGTCAAGAGACTACCTTCTATTCACAAACACCTTCAAAGGCAGAGACTCATCTTTTCCAAATGTAGCTGTATCCATTGCTACACGGTTCCTAATCATGAAATGGAATGTACACTATATAATTTTCAGGCATGGCTCCTGCTTTTGCCTACCACATCATTTTTAATCTTACCTTGTGGTGGTTTGAAAAAAAAAAAAAAAGTCTCCATAGGCTCATAAAGAGTGGCAGTATTAGGATGTGTGGCCTTGTTGAGGAAAGTGTGTCACTGGGGGTGGGGTTTGAAGTCTATCTAAGAAGCTCAAGCCAGGCCTAATGGCTCACTGTCTCTTTCTGCTGCCTGTGGATCCAGATATAGAACCCTCAGCTCCTTCTCCAGCACTATGTCTGCCTATGTGCTGCCATGCTTCTGGCCACGATGACGATAATGAGCTAAACTCTGAGCTGTAAGTTAGTCCTAAGTAAATGTTTTCCTTGGTAAGAGTTGCTGTGGTCATGGTGTCTCTTCACAGCAATACAAACCCTAATTGAGACACACCTCTCAACTACTGCAGTTCCTCTTTTTTTCCAAAAGCAGAAAAAAAAAAAAAAAACAAAAAAAAACACCAACAGCTTCTCTACCTTCTTGAGCAGTGAGGAAGCATATGGATGTACTCTCCTCATGTGCTGTGCAGCCCTTTCAATCTCTTCCATGGCTAGGCCCAAAAGCCAGCCAGGTATGTCGAGGACATGGACCTTAGCAAAGTTAGAGGAGAAGAGCTGGGCCTGACCAAGCATCACCTCTACTGGCCAAAATGAACACGCAGTTGTGGATGCAGTAGGGGCAAAACCAGCACAGTTTATGGCGTAAGGAAGTGCAGTGATTCCGACAAAGACCATCTGGCGAGTCTCCAAGAGCACTGGCTGCTCTGAGGGAAAGGGCTGGAAATGTCAGTTTTTTTCAGCTCATAGAGCCAAGATCTGCTCAGTCAGTAAAATGATGCAGTAAGAACAGATTAAGCAGGCATAACATGAAAGGAAAGCTTCTCAAGACTGACAATGGGCATCAAAACCTAGGGCACATTACCCCATGAACATGTACAATTATCATGTAGATGGCTTGTTTGTTTGTTTGTTTTTTAAAACAAGTCTCATACATCCCAGGCTGACCTCAAATAAACTATGTAGCCAAGAATGATCTCGCTCCTCCTGCTTCTATTTGACAAGTACAAGGGTTACAGCTAAGCGCCATCATGTCTGGTTTAAGAAAGCATGAGGGGGCTGCAACTCAGAGCTTCATGTGTGCTAGACAAACACTCTACCAAATGAGCTATATCCCTAGACCCTGACTAAAAAATACTTTTGCCTTTTTAAAGTACCAGTGTGTGTATTTGTGTACATGTGTGTATATGTGTATGGCCTATATGGGCACACATGCCAATCTGCGCGTGTGTGGGGTGGGGTCAGCAGAGTAATTTTGTAGAGTTGGATCTTTCCTTCTCCCTTCCCATAGGTTCCATGATCAAATATAAACCATCAGCCTTGCATGGCAAATGTCTCTACACATTGGACCATCTTATCAACCGTACCTTATGTTTTTAAAAAGCTCAGACACAACTAGGTATTGTGACATATACCTTTAGTCCCAGCAGCACCCAGGAGGTAGAGGCAGGTGGATCTTTGTGAGTTTGAGGCCAACCTTATCTACATAGTAAGTTTCAGGACAGTCAAGGACTACATAATAAAGAGACTTTGTCTTAGAAACAAAAAAACAAACTAAAAAGCTGGGACACTTACTAAGCAAATGAGGCACAGGTAGTAACCTTGTCCTCTGGAAAAGAAAAGTTTTGTTTACCCACCACGTGGAACTCATTACTGTGAGTGCATTTCCTTACTGTCTGCACACCATCTTGTAAAAGGCGTCATGCCACGGACATCATCACAACCAGGACTGGCATGATGTCTGAAACTTTGTACATTTCTGAGAGAGCACAGATTCTTTACCCTGCCACTTGGCTGTGAGGACTGACTCCTTCAGGGTCCCCACACATGATTTGCAGCAATTAGATCATGGCCCAGAGCTTTGGATTACCAACTGCTGTGCCTTTGGCTAAACTTTTCCCACCCACCAGGACCATCAGTTTGGTTATTCTGCAGCTCACCTGCTTTCACCAGAGTTTGCAGAGGGAAAGGCCTGTTCTCCTGTGTTCTGGGAGTTCCCAAAGGCCTGGCTGCTCCCTCTATCCATGGACTGGCATGTGCTGACCCCCAAACTGGTGCCATCCAATGCCAGAGCAGCTGTTTGGTCCACAGATGCCTGTAGAAGGGCAAAAAGTTAGCACACTGATCCAAAATTAACCAGAAGGAAATGGTAAATAAACTACCCTGGTTTATTACATCAACAGACATTTTACACTATTCACGACCATATAGTTACATACAGGGTTTTCTCTATTCCTCCCATTCTCAGTCCCCATTGGTTCCTGGTGGAAAAGCCAAGAGTCTAGAGACCATACCCAGTCCTGGGTATACTAGCTTGTCAGAGACATTAAACACTCACACCCTCTAAACCACGGCAGACAGAAGCCTGTCAATCACAGTAACTCTAGAGCCATAGCAATCATTCCAGTACCAGACTCAGACCACAAGACTGGCTCTGAAGGAAATCCCCCATAAAAAAGAACTCAGAAGGCTGGGCAAAGCAGTACACACCTTTAATCCCAGCCTTTGGAGGCAAGAAGATCTCTGTAAGTTTGAGGCCAGCCTGGACTACACAGAAAATTCCAGGTCAGCCAGAGCTAAATAATGAGACCCTGTCTCAAAAGAAAGAAAGAACACAGAAGTCAGAATCATCCCTTAGGAGAGGAAGAAAAAAGAAACTTGGGAAAGACAAACGGGTTGGCATTCCAGGAGACACCGTCCATGTACCATGACTCACCCTTTCCACCCCAATTCTCCTTTCCTGTATCTGTCAGTGGTGTCAGTGGTACATTCAGCTTCCTGACAGTAATCTGTGAGCTCTCTAGCTTCATCCTGAGAGAGGTCTAAGCCTCTGGCCTCCCCTAGTTTACATGCACTAGGGTCATGCTCCCACTCCACTTGGGAAGGCTGGTTGGAACAGGATCCTAACTGGGCCTACAACTGCAGCCTTTCTCCTGAAAACCACCTACGAGCCATTGCGATTTGCATCTCCTTAAAAATCAGTTCCAACCTAGGTGCCCCAATATGGTGAGATCTTGCATATCTCTGTGAGCTGTCACACCGTGAACTGCCTCTACAGAATATTTGTTGTGGGGCTAGGGTACTTCGGAACTGAGAGGAGCTGCTCTGGAGGAGTGGGGTCGAGTTGTGTCCAACCCTGCCCCAGGTCTGCATAGTCCTGCACCCACCCTTCTCCCCTAACATTTTGCATGCACCAGAGGATGTCACATATGCAGCCATGTTAAGCTTCCCCTCTCCTTTTAAGGTCATGTCCAGCTAGCACCTGGAATTCCTCTTCATGCAAAAAAGGCATTCCCAGCACCCTGGCCCTGGCCAATGATATACACCCACCCCAAAAGCCTCTACCCATTCCCCAAATGTTTAAATAGCCTTTGCTCCCCCAAGTAAACTGCCTCAGTGAAGCTGCCTCCCCCTAGAGTTTGTTCTCACTGTGCTCACCGCCCACAGAGGTCTCTATTACCCAAGGTTGTTCCTGCCTTCCTTTCCCTCTCTGGATCCACCGGTTGTGGTGTAGAGAGCAGAAAAGCACAGCCAGGTTCAACAATTTGTCTGATTTGGGATCTCAACACAACACCAGCCACCCACCAAGTCTACCCTTTCAGTCACTATTATAAAAGTATAATTCTTTTGAGTTCTGTTGTCCTATGGTTCCGCATCTCACTGGCTAAAAACGCACCAATAGGTCTTCAAGTGCTGTGGTTCTCAGGCCTCATAATGCTGTGACCCTTTAATATAGCTCCATGTGTTGTGATGATCTCCTACAGTAAAATCATTTTTGTTGCTACTTTATAACTGCAATTTTGCTACTGTTTTGAATCATAATGTGACTATCCAATATCACAGGATATTTGATGTGCTACCCCTACAAAAGGATTGTTCAACTCCCAAAGGGGTCATGACCCACAGGTTACTTTAATGTTTTTGATTATCCTCACACCAGCCCCCAAGCAGCAGACTTCGCTGAGCCTGCTGAAGGAACTGCTGAGGAAAGTAGTCTACCCGCCTCATTTCCTTTAAGGGTCCTAAAGTGCAGGGCTATGTCCCACTTAGCTAAAATCCTGCAGCAGCTGCTAAAGGTTACATCCCAGACCAAATGTTTATAAAGAATGACTAAACCTTTCAGAGCACGCTAAAAAAGCATAAAAAAGCCTTAACTACAGGTCTTGAATGCATCCTCCAGAGAGAGCCTTCTTTCATTAGGTATTTTGTTAGATGATGAAAATATTGCCGCTTCTAAAACAGGGCTTGTCATCTCAGCACTGCTGTCTCTTGGGATCAAACGAATCTTTGTCACAGGGCGGCCTCTGCACTGCACAATGCTGAGCAGCAGTCCCAATCCCACACGTTAGATCTACTACCCACAGATGCCAAAATGTTTCTAGATATTATCAGCTGTCCCATGAGATAAAAAATTGCCCTGGCTCTAAAAGAACCACTGTGCTTTTATGATTTACAAAAACAAAACAAAAAACCCCCAAAACACAAAAAGTCAACCACACAGACTGATGGGCACCGTCATTCTCCAGAAGTGCAGCAAGAGGCAGCACGCAATAACCAATCACCACGTGTACACAACCACTAAGACTGGGCGGTGGCGGCGCACGCCTTTGATCCCAGCTCTTGAGAGGCAGAGGCAGGCGGATCTCTATGAGTTCGAGGCCAGTCAGATTGAGTTTCAAAATATCTAGGGTGACAGAGTGAAACCCTAGGTCAACACCCGTCTCCCCCCTCAAAAAAAGGTTCCAATGTGAAGTGGTGAGAGAGATGTAGGGTGAAGGGGGGGGGCAAATGCCTGTCATCTAAATATACAATATTTATATATGAAATTACCAAAGAGTAATAAACAAACATGCATTAAATTGACATAATTCATCTTCAACACTACTAGTCATCCTTTGGTGTGAAGACATTATTACCTCCAAGAAATAAAATCCCACGACGATCAAGTCTCTTAAAATACATGTCATAGTATTTGTGTATAACTATGCAAATCATCCTGTCTACATTCACAGGCTCAACTTTCTGACACTGCAACATGACACTGTCACCTACAAAGTCACACTCTGACATCACAGCCCAGTTACAAAAACAAAACACGGAATTTTTTAAAAATTTCCTAATGTTTCACATGTATAATTTTGTGTTAGGATGCACTTGTAGCTGTCCTGCAGCACATGCAGACCCCAAACTGCATGAATTTCAATCATCTCAAAATGACTTATAATACCTAGTGCATAGAACAGCTATGAGAGCAACAGTTACACTACATTGTTCAGGGAACAAGCTAAAGAAAAAGGTCTGTACACGTTTGGACATAACTTCCTCTCCCCAGTATTTCTGATCCAGTTGACGGATTATGGATGGATGTACGGAGACAACTCTAATTCTAACCACAGCTGGTGTTGACTGTATACTGATCACCTACCCAGCATCCCGCTGTTCACTTACATATGCAAGATTCCAAGTGTGTAAATTTCTAAACGCATAGGTATTTTCTATTATTTGCAATGACTGTCAAAAATCTTTCTTGCATTATGATCAGAAATGTACTTGTTATGATTTCATTCCCTTATAATTTGCTGAAAACATTTGTTATTTGTAATACTCAAAATGACCCCATCTTAAATTATTATTAATTAAATTGCTATTTCCTCTTATAATAAAGAAATAGGTTCTAAAGCATAATTAGTTCTGAAGCATAGTTAGTACTAAAACACCTTGGTATAGTACTAAAGCCAAGATTTGAAAGTAGCCTTCTCCTCCATTGTATATTACAAAATTAATGTCAAATGTTTTTATATATTTTATAACAATAAAAAGAACAAAGTTATGCAATTTAATTGTGCGCACGTACGGAAAGAGTACCTTTGGCAAGAGTTGACTTTTTTTTAACTTATCCGTCTTCTTTGTTGTTTTTTGATTTTTCAGACAGGGTCTTTCTATGTAACTCTGGCTACTCTGGAACTCATTCTATAGACAGTCAGGAGATCCACCTGCTTCTGCCTTGAGTGCTGGGATAAAAACTATGAGCCACACCTGACTTTATTTATGCATATTATTACAACGCCAGGAGAGACAAACATCACTCACTCCTGTACGGAACTGACCTCTACCTACTATTCCCAGTGGTAGGGACTTTGTCTACCTTTGTTTTTACAGGTAAATTCCACTACACCAAACAGACCACAGATCTCTATTTCAATTCAGCTGACTTTTCTTAAATTAAATTCTAAGTCTAATACAGCAATAGAGTCTCTTACTAGAAAGTAAAAGACTTTGGAGATGAAGAGATGGCTCAGGAGTTAAGAGCACTTGTTGCTCTTAGAAGCCATGTTCAATTCCCAGCATACATATGGTGGCTCACAACCGTCCATAATTTCAGTCCTAAGGGATCTGTGTTCTCTACTAGGCATGCATGGGGTGCATAGATAAACACCTGGTCAAAAGTGCTCATACACATAAATCGGTAAAATACATCTAAAAAAAAAGAATTGAGGAACAAAAGAAAGTAAAAGACTACAGAAGTCAGCCCATGTGTTTTAATTCAAAATACAGTATATTCCTACACGGAGATGAGAGATACTTGGTGGAGAACTTGGACCCAGAAGGGATTGCACATGGCTATGCGATCCACAGGTAAGGTTGGCGGACAGGTGTGGCAATCTCTGTTCCTAAAAACCAAGACCCCAATGTTAACTAGAGCTCACTCTCCCAGTAATGTTCACAGGAAGTACAGGGCTGAGCCACCACTAGTGCACTGTCCTTTTGCCAATGTCTTAAGTACACTTGTCTCACTGGATAATGGGTATAATACTTTATAGGTTGTTACAAAGAGTATGTTTGTAATGCACTGGCAAAGAGAGCAAGGAGCTGGTTTCTGACTTCTACTAAAGGACTCCTGAACTCCTCCCAGTGAGCTTCACCAGTCCCATTCTCCTTAGCTAGTCCCTCTTCACTCTTTCCAATCTCTGTAACTGGTTCTCTATGGCTAAGTCAACTGCATACTTAGAAGCCTCCATAAAAAGCAGGGAGCCCTGTTTGTCTTCAAAGACGAGTCAAAACAGTAATTACTAACGCTAATTACAGGGTGGGTTTTGAGTCAAGCCTTGTGGGTCATGGGTTTGAATCCTAGTTCTATTCTGAACTGTAGAAAGCAACTTCTACAGTTTATAAAAGTGGAATAAAGCCAGGTGCGGTGGCGCAAGCCTTTAATTCGAGCACTTGGAAAGCAGAGGCAGGCATATCTCTGTGAGATCGAGGCTAGCCTGGTCTACGAAGCGAGTCCAGAACAGCCAAGGCCATACAGAAAAATCCTGTCTTGGAAATAAAAAACTGGACTAAAACTTTTATCTAAGTGATAGGTTATGCTACAAGGTGGAATGAGCTATAATACGTGTGTCAGGCATGTGGGGAGTAAAAAATTTTAAGGCCTGGAAGGCCCTCAATGACCTCATATAAAACTTTCATTTGACAAATAAATAAAGCCCAGAAAGCAAGTAAACTGCCCAAGACCACACCCCATTAGCCTATGGCATAGCTCATGCCTATTTATAAATGCTGGTTGTTTTCCCCACCACCACTTCCTGCCATACTGTTTTAAATTTATCTTGGCTGTACTAGGAGGAGAAAAATAAGTGTTCAGTCCTTAAATATACACATTTCACGACGCTTATAAAAACTTAAAAGGGCAGATGCTGCAATGTGGCGACAATGAGATTCATGGCAATTGAGTGAACCACACCAGCAGCAATAAGAAGCACTTGATTTCGGCACTGATGTGGTAGTCTGTCATCTTACATGAATCTCTCCCTCTCCCTTTTGTTGCTCCGAACACCAAGACACCTTAGAGACAATTTCAACTTCAGCTGTCCCTCAAATTCAGACTCAGTCCAATTTTATCTGCTCAGAGGTAAACAGAAGGCCAGCTTGGAGCTTCTGCCAAAAGGATGGGCATGCACAGGCTAGAGTTTGGACTAACCTGAGGGTAGAAGGCAGATGATGCTGTGCGTGGGCTGCGGACAAACTCCATAAAGAAGGCCCCGTCCTGAAGTCAGAAGAGGAGGAAGCAGCAGCAGCAGCAGCAGCAGCAACAGGTGCAAGGTAGCCAAGAAATGGATTGTGTATGAGAATAGGAGGAGAAGGGGATGAAAAATAAGTAAATAAATAAATAAATGAAAACAAAGAGGGAAGGAGAAAAACCAGGACATGAGGGAATGGGCTGGGGGTGGAATAGGGAACAGGACTGGTCCAGAAAGACAATATCCAAATGCAAAGCACAAGCAAGAAATCACACCTTAACCAGTGGGTGAAAGCACCTGAGCTGGAGGTACAGCCAAGCTCCTTGTGTGTACCTGTGGCTTGGATGCTTTTGACTTCCTTCAGACCTATTGCCAAGAAGAGGGAAGGCCCCAGGGCAGTGTCAGGTACAGTGGGGTAAAGGCAGCAGTGACATCTTATCCTTTAGTCTAGCTGGGTAACAGCCCTCTGGGACAGAGGCACCGGAGCCTAACATTTCTTCTGCCTATTAGTTACTACATATGGCAGCAAAGAATCGATGATGAGAAAAGTCTTGCGTAATCCATGCATACAGGGGGCGCAGAGGCAGCAGTACCTGCTCCTCTAACTTGGGTGACAGAAATCAAGAACTCAGACATGAAGTCAGGTGCATAAGCACTAAGGCAATGGACTTCTTGAAGAGATCACCTCTCTCTACTTACGGCTGGGTGTAAATGCCTGTGTATTTGAAGCAAAAAGGACAAATAGGAATCTCAAAGACCTTATGATCTTTCTAAGTCTTTTTATGCTGCAAGCATGACTGTCGTTGCAGTGAAGGAAGGGCAACCGATCAAGGTCTGTGCTCTCCTTCAGTTCTAAAAGTAAAACAACGGAGTATTTGGGTGTTCGTTTATCACCAGTGCCAGTGTCTCCCAGTAGCACACCCTGGAGAGGCATGGCTGAAGAGGCAGATGCATCACTGATACTTTAAGACTCGCTGCCTCCATGCCCGCAGCAGGGCATCTCATGGCATTTTTGCTTCCAAGTCTCTAAACCTGGAGGGCACACCCAGACCATGACCTTCAGAAGTCAGATGAAGAAAGACAGCATCCTGAAGAGCAACCTAGTTTGTAGTCTCTAGTGCATTTCAACCTTCCTACAATTTCTCTACTTTCCCATCTTGTCTTTGGCACAATCTCTAATCCTGAGAAATGACAATGTACAGAGGTGAGAAAAGTCCTGGTAGGCATAAGTCCATCCCAGAATATGGCAGCTGAGGCACTGATGACACTGAGATCTATATCACTGAAAAGAGATCAAGTTTTAAGAAAAATAAAATTTTTTTTTTTTTTTTTGGCCAACAGAACATTCCTTTGTACACAGACTCTCCTTGAGACCTAAAGCTACTCCCTTGAGCAGGGTCAGCAAACTACAACTTATAGAGTAAATCTGGCCACTCACCTGGTCTTCACAGGCTATGAGCAAATAATGGCTTTTATAATTTTAAATGGTTATAGAAGTACTTACGCAGTACTCTTACTATGCCTATGAATCCTGAAATCCACACACAGGGTTGCTAATCTCTGCTCCACAGTTTCTAGGCTGCCTGCAGCTTTGGTTGATACTTTTCTCATATTTTAATCCCATTTTAATAATTCTAGTAATTTATAGCTAGGTAATTAATCAGACCTGTAGTCAAATAACTGCCATAAAAAAGTTCATTAGCATCACTTAAAATTTTACGTCCTGAAGATTAAAATTCTATAGAATTGGTAATTCTTTTTTTTTTTTTTTTCCAGAGCTGAGGACTGAACCCAGGGCCTTGCGCTTGCTAGGCAAGCGCTCTACCACTGAGCTAAATCCCCAACCCCAGAATTGGTAATTCTATAGACCCTCCAAGACATATTCTCTCTGTGTAGCTTTGACTGTCTTGTCCTGGAACTCACTAGGCTAGCCTTGAATTCAGAGAGATCTGCCTGCTTCTGTCTCCTGAGTGCTGGGATGAAAGACATGCCCTGCCATACCTGGCTAAAATTTATCTTGAAAATAAAAAACCATTTACATTTTAAATAAGTTTTCTGTATGTATGTAGTACTGGGGATCAAACCAAGGCCTTGAATATGTAAACTGAATGGTCTACCTCTGAGTCACATCCCTAGTCCAAAGGTACTTTCAACATTGTGTTTTAGGAATTCAAAGTTTAGTTTAGTTGCAGACTACTTGCTTAGCATGTATAAGACTTTGGATGAATCACTAAAACTTAAAAAATAAACAAAATCTTGAGAAAAATGACATGGACAACTTTCATGATATGAGTAAAATTAATAAATATGAAGTTAGATATAAAATATGGCCAAAATTATTTTTTAAAATTGGCCAGATTCTCTTTCATTTCGCAGTGGTAAAAACTAGATAAGAGAACCAGAATCAGCTCAACCTGCCACACAAGATGATGTGCCTGAACTTTCCATAAGACACAAAAGCTTGACCTAGGGTTTTCTGCCATTCTGCTGCACTTGCTATGCCATACAAAGGCCGAAAATTTCAAAGTTTTGTTTGCATTTTTTCTTTCCCAGTATTTCTCAAGAATCTTCAAACAAACAAAACAAACAAACGAACAAAAATAGGAATTCCAATATCAAAAAAGAACAGGTTTGTGTGGATGGTGCTTCAGGAATTTCCAGTTCCCCAGCAGTGAATGGTGACTGTGAAGGAAAATAGATGGCAAATTCCAAAGTTCAAGTCAGATCAAAGGCCTTGAGTTCTGTGTGGCTGGTTTATATGCTGTACCTTTTATGCTGACCATAAAACTGTCAACAAGTTTTCTTTCTTTTTTTAAAGATTTATTTATTATTTATACAGTGTTCTGACTGCATGTATACCTGCAGGCCAGAAGAGGGCACCAGATCTCATTATAAATGGTTATAAGCCACCGTGCGGTTGCTGGGAATTGACTGAACTCAGGACCTTTGGAAGAACAGCCAGTGTTCTTAACCTCTGAGCCATCTTCCGCAGCCCAAGAAGGTTTCTTGATGAAGGATAACAGAACTTTAAGAGGGTGTGAGATAAGGAGCCTATCTACAGCTTCAGCACAATTGATCCTGCATTCACAGCTATATGCTCCGCTTTCATTTGGGCTCCAGAGAGCACACGGCAACAGTCCCCTGCTGGTGAGCCACCTTTACCTTTCGTGGGCTGTCCACATAGGTGGGAGTCATAGCAACACTGCTGTTCTCAGCTGGCTGAGAGGAACCTTTTCCATGCACAGCTGCCTGCTGTTCTCCCAGGCACCTGAAGGAAGGAAAACACATGACTGCAGCTTGCTGGAACACCGCTAGAGAAGGGTCCAAGTTAGTCTACATGAAGACACCAATGCTGCTTCCACCTTTGAAACATATGCTTCCGCCTTGCTTTTCCTTCAGGCCCCACATGGCAGTCTTAATGCCACTAAATTGTCTTAAACAACCATTAGTCCTCCACAGTGTATCAGAAAACAGCGCAGTCAGAAAACATTCTAGGACTGGTGTGATGGCTCAATGGGTGAAGGTGCTTGGCACCAAGTCTACCAACCTGAGTCTGACAACTGAACCCACATGGTAGAAGAACTTATGTAAGTTGTCTTCTGACCTCCCACAAACACTGCCGTGTGTGCATCCCCCCCCCACATAAATGTAATAAAATAAAAAGCATTTCAAGAAGTAGGGTGTGGAATCACCTTTAATCCCAGGTGGATTTCTGTGAATAAGGACATCCTGGTCTATATAGAGTACTCAAGAACAGCCAGAGCTGTGTAATAGAGAGACCTTGTCTCAAAAAGACCAAAAGAGTAAGCCAGGTGGTGGTGGTACACGCCTTTAACCCCAATACTCTGGAGGCAGAGGCAGGCAGATCTCTCTGAGTTTGAAGCCAGCCTGATCTATGGGAGTTCCAGGATAGGCAGGAATACACACACACACAAAAAAAACCCTGTCTCTAAGAACAAAGCAAAACAAAACAACCAAAGACTAAAAGTAAGTATTCCAAATATGCTTCCACTCATATGCAGAATCTAGATTTTTAAAAATTACATATATATGCCATTTATATGTATACATGTATATATGTATGTGTATACAGATATACACACAGAAGACATATATGTGTGTATATATATATCAAAAAAGCAGAATGAGACAATTTAAGGGGAGGAAGAGGGAAGAGGAGGACAGGCAAGTGCAGGGAGTGGGAATATGAGCAAAGTATGATGCTACATATATGAACATCTCATAACAAAACTCGTGTTTTTAAAACCATTTTTTGAATACTAAAATTTTAGTTAACAAATAATCATTGCGGGTATAAAGAGATGGCTCAGTGATTAAGAACAATAGCTGTTTTTCAAGAAGACCTGGGTTTAATTCCTAGCACCCATATGGCGGCTTAACGTCAGTTCCAGGGTATCCAATGCCTTCTCCAAGCCTCCTCAAGCATCAGGCATGTATATGGTAACACAGACATACAAGCAGGCAAAATATCCATAAACATTAAAAAAAAAAAAAATCACTGTGGGCTGTCAACGTGCCTCTTTGAGTCTGACCAAGATGATCACTTGACACTAGGAGTTCCAGGACAGTCTAGGTAACAGAGTGAGACCTCACTTGTCCAACAAAACCACCTTCTAAAAATCAGCACTGTAGTTAACATGCAGCACCAACTAACTAGGGAGATGTGAGTTAGTTCTACATACTCTAAAGGGATTTGTTAATTTTTCCAACATAATTATATTCCCTCCTTCCCCAAGTCATAAAGTAAGACAAATATGATTTTCTTATGCTATCTCATCTTACCACAGTTCTGATGCATACTAAGGCATAGCTACATGTTTGGTTTCCAATTTTTCCCCAACTAAAATTAACTGAATGCATATCATAAGTAAAATAAAGAGAGTTTAAAGTACACAAAAGATAAAAAACCTGGTCGTGGTAGCACAGACCTATAATCCCCGCACTGGGTAGCCTGAGCCAGGAGAATCAGGAGTTCAAGTCCAGCCTAAGCTATATATCAAAAACAAAAATCAAGGATTGGAGAAACAGCCCAGTAGTAATGCAAGGCCATGTGCTCAATCCCAATACCTCTCCCCCTGAAAACTAACTGTACACTCCTGCACGTTGTCTTCAGATCGCACTATGTTGTTTGGTAAGTTTGAACAGTTTCATGCAGTGTCACCACTATTGTAGGATGAACAAACTCTTCTCCAGTTATCTGTGAGGTGACTCTCCATCCCCATGTAGATACCCTAATTCTCAGAAAACTGGATCCTCTGCAAGAATAGCTAGTGCTCGTAACTGATGAGCCATTTCTCCTGCCCCTTTATTTTTTTAAGACAAGGTCTCATGCAGCTCAGGCTAGCTTTGAACTTCCTAGGTAGCTAAGTCTGATCTAAAAGTCCTGATGTCATGCTTCTACTTCCCTAGTGCTGGAATTACATGTGTGTGCTACCATGACCAGTTTTTAAAAAAATCTTCCATATACTTTAAATCACCTTTACATTACTTATGATACCCAATATAATGTAAACACTATATTACATAGCACTGTTTAGGGAATAATAAAAAAGTCTATACATTTTGTACAGACTTTATTTAAAAGAAAAAAAATTACATTTATTTATTGGTGTGGGTGTGGCTCATGCTACAATACCCATGGAAAACAAAGTTAGAGAACAATTTATAAGAATTGGTTCTCTCCTTCCACCATGTTGGTTCTGGGGAATACAGGTCATCAGGCTTGGCAGCAAGAGCCTTTACCCACTGAGCCATCTTGCCAGCCTCAGACTCAATTTTAGATCAGTGGGTGGGTGAGTCCATAAATACATCACCCACAGACAAGGAGGACCAATTATATTGCTGCAATGAATGCTTCAAAGCCAAATCCTTAGCTATGGCCTATTTTATTCAGCAGCTGGGAGCATTATTTAAGTGGCAGGGATAGCTCCAACTGCAGAGCAGGTTGACCTAAGCTCATGCTTCTCCCCTGAATAGCCAGAGTCAGTGAATGGTGTGTGTGTGTGTGTGTGTGTGTGTGTGTGTGTGTGTGTTAAAAGCCAGATTACCTCTGAAAGTTGTACCATCTAGCTCCAGTGCTCATGGAGTGCCCCATCACTCGGGATGTGATAGTATGGTGCCTAATCCTGATTCTTTCCACTCATTCCCACAGGTGTTGAGCACCAGAACTCACCTTAATAAACAGCTTCCATATTTCGGATCTTGGTCTGTTTCCCTGGCAACCTAATCTGTAACATTTCTCATATTCTGACTCTGCATGGGAGTGACGGGCGTGGTTCAGAGGGCAAGCCCATGTCCACGATAGCAAGTACTCTACCACTTTTGTTACCTGACTATGAGATAATTAAATAGAAATCAAAGGTAAAATAAACAGAAGCAGAGGGTAATTTATAGGCACCTCCACATACACAGCCACTAAAATTACATACTTGGAAACAATTCTGTTTCCTCTATTTCCCTGTTTACTCATTACCTGTCATTTTATCTGTATTACAGCAATATCTCTAAAAAAGTGACTTTTAAAGAAACACAACCACCACCAAATATTTCCCCAACTGTCTTAAAAATGTACAGCTTGTCCAAAACAAGATTTTATGAAGGCTTCTGTTTGGCAGTAAGTAGTCTCTTAAGTCTCCTTTAGGGCCTAAGCTTAATGCACATACTCTAGGCGTGCTGAGTCCATTCCTTTATTAGTCCATGTTTTTCTTCCTTGTGCCCTGTACTTCCTGAGAACTATGAGCTAAACCTCAAAGTTTAGTTGGATTTAGGTTCAACGGGGGCCATGGATTCTTCCCCTATGGTGTTTTGTGTTGCCTCTGCTGGTAATTAGCCACAGCTGATGGCTTCCTAGCTCCTTTAGTGCTTTAGTGTCTACACACAGTGATATTCTAGCATTCCTTCTGTTATTTATTAGCAAGAGTATTTTACAAAGAAAAAAAATCCCCAATGACTTGGTTATTCTGAGGTTATTATAGGAGAAGCAGAAGACAAACTTGCTTTTCTTTGACCACCAATATCAAACTGTCACTCTCTATCACACTGCAATACACTCTATATTCAATTTTCTTCTGAGTTACAGCCACAAACACACACTATGACTTTCTTTGGCATGTCTTAATGGCAGCAGCAATGGGCCATGACTGGGACAGCAATGGCAGAAAGTCTCAGTTGCCTCACAGGCACATAAGCATCCACACGTACTGAATTGCCTTCCAGGCGCTAACCCCCACATCAGAACAGGCATTCATTCCTGGGTGAGACAGTTTCTGTCTAACCCTCATAACCTGTTACACTGCATACATGCAGATGTGAGACATGCAGGGCACACTGTATTCTGACGAAGGAGGGAGGCAGCCAATCCTACATAAAGCCTGTGCCAGATGTGACTGGCAGGAGGAAGCCAACTTACACTAAACAGAAGGGCACAAATAGGCAAACATCTTTCACATCCTTATAGGTGGATGGAGATCTACCACACTGTTGGACTGCTTTTAGCAGGAGACATCCTGCCTAAGGCATGAGAACATCAGTCTGTTTGTCTGCTCTTACTCCAATTTGGATGCATTGGGTTATCATCATCTCATAAAAGCAGAAAAGCCTTCAGGCCAATACCTGCTACCCAGGCTAACCCACTGCTGTTAGTCAGCATAGAGCTGACTCCACAGGAGCCTGATCAAGGAAACATGACTACAGACAAAGACTGGCAGGGAACTGGAGGAAAAAGTTTCAGTAAGATGGCAAGACTATAAAGAACTTAAAGCCCTTTCTCATGTTGGTGTAACATTGGTTTTCACAACAAATACAACTGAATCTGCTTAGCATAGTAGAAAAAAAAGAAAAGCAAACAAGATGGGCAGTGGTGGTGGACACCTTTAATCCCAGTGCTTGGGAGGCAGAGGCAGGGAGATCTCTGGGAGTTCGAGGCCAGCGTGGTCTACATAGTGAGTTCCAGATCAGCTAGGGCTACACAGAGAAACCTGTCTTGAAAAACCAAAGAAAGGGGAAAAAAAAGCAAACAAAAAGCACTGTGTAAGTAAACATTATATAGAAGTCTGGCTTTTAACCTACTTTTAACCTCCCAAAAAACTGGAGCAAGTAAAGGACTATAGTCTTTGACCTCTTGTCATAGGGTTAGCCGAAACCCTCATCATCCACTCTGGGGATTGCTACAAGCACAAGATGGCTTGCTCTTCCCAGTCTGAGCAGGAAGAGGCTCATTGGTGCATACTAAACAGTGACTCACTGGCA